ACCCCGCGTGCCGCGGGGAATGAGGAGCGGGAGGGAGCGCCGTCGGATGATCTCTAATTGCTCGCGTGTCGCGCACCTTTCTCCGTCTGTCCGTTCGTCCGTCACGTTTCTGCCGTGGCGGTCTCGCACGAGAGAAACGCGCGCTCTCTCGTATAAATGGTGGATCGTGGTACCACCGCATTGAGGTTTCTCCACTTTGCGCCGAATGAGAACCACCGTGCTCTTCGCCACGTAGTGTTGGCAGAGTGCTCGTGATCGATTACTCGTCATCCGCGCGCGCGATGTCCCGAGTTCGACGCCCACCCGCCCACTGCCAAACCAAACGTACTCCTTTCTTTTTTCCTCCCTCTCCCCTCCTCTCTCCCCCTCCCCCTGTTTTTCCCGCTCCTGCTCTCACATTCGTCCTCGCTCCTACCTTCCACGTGGTCATCGACCGTGGACCGTGGTGCGCGCACCACGTAGAGATAGGTAGATAGATAGATAGAAAAAGAGAGAGAGAGAGAGAGAGAGAGAGGAAGAGGAGAGAGACGGTCGTCGCGCGAGAACGGATGCGAAGCGTTTTTCGCTTTTTGCGTCACGGCAGCGCGACGAGGGTGCGAGAGATCGCGAAGCCGGGTTATTCTGCAAGTTCACGGAGCGTCAAATCGAAGTCACTTTCCCCAAAAGTTTTCGCCTCGATGGGAAATGTAAATTTCACTCCGCTCTTTATAAACCGATGTTCACGGGGAGTCGTGCGAACACACTGCCGAAAAGCCGGGTTGGGGACAGGGATAGAAAGTGATACGAGGAAGACGCGTTTTCGGAGGAGGGAAGAGGGGAGCTGATATCGCGAAATGGTTCTCGCGAAGATACCGAGCTCCGCTTGATATTGAAATCGTGTGTCTGCCGAAAAATTTTTTGCCGGCTAAGCTGCCATTTTTCCCGCACGACGACAGGGACGCTTCTTCTTGCTCGCTTACTTCGTATTATTGAGAGAAAGAGGCAGCTCTGTCTTGTACCAGTGACCCGCGAAATGATTATTGAGCAAAGAAACTTGTCCCTGGGTTTCTGTAAACATCACGATACCGTCTCTATGGGCAATTCTGTTTTCTTTCTTGTGCACGTGAGTACACGGGGGGCAATCTTATTGAATGAAATAAGATCATACAAGAGAAATATATCTGGCAACTGCAATATCTGGCAGTTTGTCAAGAGTCGTTTTAATCTGGCTGGAGGAGTGTATCCTCTCAAGCTTGCGGGATGGCTCATTGTCGTAAAGCGTTGCCGGACCGAAGTTTATAATAAGTAGGACTTAGTACCCAAGTTCCGTGTCCGGACTTTCTGACGTAGTCTCCGCGTGAAAGTCCATCTAAAATTGCAGATTCTACGCTAATGAGCCCGACTGTCAACGCCGAGCAACGTTGAAGCTTCTCTTGAATTTTCTTGCTCGAAAAAGAGAAAGAGGAAAAGAGAGAGAGAGAAAAAGGAAAGCACGATGTTTCGGGAGGGTTAAACTTACCGGTCAGTAGGAGCAGCAACAATGTCGAATCCATCCCCAAAACCCTAGTATGCCCAGACAGAGTCAGCTCAACACATTCTTGAAACTTTCCTGAAACAAAGCGCGCCAGATGATTAATGAAACAGACAGATTTCAGTATAAAGTTAATTAAGACAGATATTAGTCCGAAGTTAATCTTAATCCACTATTCTTTATAATTAGTCGGAGATGTGTAATCATTCAATATTGGTAATCGAGATGTCCCGAAACGTCCTTTTCAAGGGAAATCTTTCTGAAAATCCATATTGCACGTAGCACGCACTGTAGACCTTCAGAAAGATTTTCCGGAAAAAAGACGTTTTGTAATGCAAGCCGAGTAAACATCGCACGGAGCTCTAAACTGTTGATATTACGTACATGTTTCCCGAGCAAACACAGTTTGGTTCGGCCGATCGATCGTTTTATTATTCGCCTCGGAACACACGGCGATAATTAGAAAGTCACATTAATTTGCAAAAACGGATTCTTAATTTTGAGCACGCGCTCTACGGCGGCATATGAAATATTGCCGGTGTTTCTGTCAGCGGTACGGCAACGCGCAGGTCATGAAAGTGTCAGGAGACAATTACTATAATCATGCGACCGGACAGTTCACGGGACTGTGATAAAACGCTTAGTTTGCGTGGCGTCAGGAGCACATGTAGCGCGTTGCGTCAAATGGACATGGTTTGGGCGCGGGTCGATGGCCAAAGTCGGACAGGACAGCGGTAAAGAGCAGAAAGGTGGAAGCGCGAGGGTTGGTTGGATAAAATGCGTTACGTCGGCGAGGCCTGGAACGAGGGCGTCGGTTAGGATTCAGGCCAGGGGACTGCGAGGAGGATAAGGGTGGCAGGGGGTCGTGCCGGAAGCGCAACGGCGGCCATTTTTCACGGCGCGGACGTCCGTTTCCGGTCCACGATCACCGCGAAATACAAACAAAAATGGCGGCCAGGCAAGACGAGAGGGGTTGGAAGAGCGAGAGGAGGGAGGGGGGAGCTGGAGATACGGAGCGAAAGAGGAAAATGGGAAAGACGGAAATCAAGTGCCGAGAGACAGAGGGGGCCGCGAGGCGGAAAAAGGACGACTGGCTTGCCGACATGGCGGTGGTCCTGTCGCCCGTCCGTTTCTTCCCTTTCTTTTTTTTTCTTCTCTTTTCACCGCCGCTACCTTTTTCCACCCTCACGTCGTTGCGCATCCGCTTGTTACACGTGTAGGGTATTTTTCAATCATATGGTATCTAAGTCGCGAGAACATCCTTGAGATTACTCCCGATCTCCAGGAACCTCTTTTATGCGCAGCCCTGCGAGATAGAGGTTTTACGATGCTTAGCATTAGACGTATCGGCGGATATGAGTTTTATGCCTATACTTTTATCACGGCTGTCTCTCCAGATAGATTGCACTTCAATCGCTATCGCTACTGAAACTCGAAAACTGTACTGGAAAGCGTACTGAGTAGGATAAAACAGAGTTTTATTAGTAGTCTTGTGGATTCCAAGATCCTTAGAGTAACCGTAATTCCAAGAAATAAAGAGAAAACAAAGAGAGAGAGAGAGAGAGAGAAAAGTGGAGAGATAGAAGACGAGTTGTTAAATAACAAATATTAACTTTAGTCGCGGTTTAATCGATTCTTTGTCTCTTTCTGGATTTCGAGTTGAGAGAGAGACACGTGGAGTAAATTAAACTGCAGCTAAAGTAAACGCACGTTGGCGCACGCGCGGCCGTACAAGACTCGACACATCGAATGGCGAATCCAATCGGCGAGATATTAGCGGGTAAATACGTTCTCGGACTATTATGCGACAAAAAGAAAGGAGAGCGAAGCGGCATAACCGTCTTGAGCGGTAATAATCCGAGTTCTGCGGATATAAGGTAGTCGTCTTTGCCGTTCGACGCCAGCGGGAACACCCGGCATCCTTGCCAATCTCCGCCCTCGCCGTTCTCAATTTCCATCGCTCTCCTCGCGTAATAAAGCCTCTTTGTCTTCCCCGGCCGTTGTCGAGGGCGGCGGTGACGGTCTCTTTTCGCGGTTCGCGACCACGGTCGCAGCGAGGGGAATGGGAATTTAGTTTTCTAGAATAGGGGAGAGGAGGGGGGACGCGTCTTCTCTCGAACCGGCCGATTACCATATCGCGCGACAAGGACGAATGAGCCTGACGCAACTTGGCACCGATCTCGGCGCAAATGAGCTTTTGAAGTTCAACGTCGATATCATAACCGGAGAGCTTATCGGGCAGATTAAGATAGGAGGTGTATGCGACTAGAGATTGCGCATGGTGGTGCCCATATCGAAAACTCGGCCGGGGAATCGATCATTTGTCTTCCGGATTCAATTTCTGCAAAATCGGAGGTTCCCTGAATCGACTCATCTCTCGAGAAACTTCCCCCCCGATTCGCTCGGTTCGCCAGAAGTTCTCGATATTCCCAATATCGTTGAACATCGCGAATTTAAAGCAGACGGATGTCTCGCGCCGTCATTAAAGCGCGAATTCTTTCGCAAATCGCGCCTTCGCGCACCGCGTGAAATAATCCGATGAGAAATCATCAAACGAATATTCCCGATCAATTTTCATATCCGATCAGGAGAGATCCGATTAAATTTAATCGGACACACTTCCGATCGTAATGGTATTCTCCGTCAGGTATATAAACCGATGAAAAAATTCATCATCGATATCGATATTTCTCATGTCGGATGTTCTCTGATCGGATACGAACGTTGATCGGATTTTGATCGGGAATATCCGTTTGGTAATTTCTAGTCGGGCGACTAGAGTGAAATTATTCATTCACTCATTACCCTGAGTGTAGCGACTGGGAATACATCGGATCGGCATCAGCACGAAGCCCCGCTGTCGTCTCATCGCCGGGACCGACGAGTTTTGTCGAGAAAACCGCCGGCTAATTTTCGCCGTTCGAGGGGCAGCTCGTGTTAAGCTGGCACCGAGCAATTCCGCAGAAGTTGAATGGCCGCGCGCGAGCAGTAAGACAAGGACGGGCAAGAGTTATGCATTATGATTCGCCGTTCCCTCCCTTGCAACCCTCCGACGCCAACCTAATAACGTCACTTGTTGCACGAGCCCCCCTGACCCCCACACTAACCCCGCCGGGCTCCTCTCTCTCTCTCTCTCTCTCTCTCTCTCTCTCTCTCTCTCTCTCTCTCGCTTTGCCTTGCGCGAAACTATCGCCCACCCAGACGGGAAAGTCCCGTCTCAAGGATACCCCCGTCTTATGAATTTCATTTATCTCAAGCCCCGTCGTGAACGCGCGCGCGACCACGTTGAGACTGCTGTACGTTTGTGTGCATGTGTAACAATACACAGCTCTCTCTCTCTCGCACAATCCCATTCACAAAACCGCAAACCGCACTGTCGCGTATACACGAGTCCCGCGTACCTGTACTATCAGTTATAACGAGTCCGTTCTTTATATGTGCTCGCTAATATGACGCCGTTTTGCTGTTCTCCCCTCGGCAGCGTTTCGCGGCATGTTGCGAGCTCTGCCAGGCAGATTTCATCCGCATTGTCATCGCGAGAACGCGCCGACAAAGAGAGAGCAATCGAAGTTCAAAAAATTCCATATTTTCCTCTCTCTTTCCTTCTCTCTCTCTCTTTCTCTCTCTCATCCTTCGGTTGCTTGTCCCGTGTTCTTCGACACGCGGTGATATCGGCATATCTGTCGCGCTTCCGGCTACCGCGATTTATATTAAATAACAAGGACGGCTTATGACCCGCGAAACGTCCCGAGAATATCGCACTTTCAGCAACTCCCGAGTCGTGCACTGTTAATTTAACGATATGATAGCAAAAAGTTCATAACTGTGAGCCGATCGCGGTTACTGGAAATAGCGTATCGGCTGGCACCGCCTAACTACGAGAATACCGAAACGAATCAATTCGCTCGAGGAATTTTTTAATTAAACGTTCCCTTTCTTTACTTCGTTACGGGTGCGGCCGGCCGTTGCGTGACTCGCTTGCATAGTACACGGCTCGTATGTGAGCGCGGCGAACGGGTTTACGTGTGTAGTACAGATGATGTAATGCCTCAAGTAAAATATAAAAAAAGCGGACATTTCTTTTCTCTCTCTGTCTCTCTCTCTCTCTCTCTCTCTCTCTCTCTCTCTCTCTCTCTCTCTCTCTCTCTCTCTCTCTCTATTCCATCGCGTTACGAAAGTGCACTCGGGAGAATTTCAGTGGCGGTTTTATCCTCATCGTTTCATCTTTATTACAATAATTCTCGACGGTGACGTCTGTCTTGCCCCGTCGAGGGGGCGCGTTTTCGAACGACCGCGTACGTGCCGGGAGCTCGCGGACGGATAATGGAAAATGATGCGACATGTCGTATGTATTTGTCGGGCGTAACGCATTTACAAGCGCGCAATTTCGGTGGCGCGCGAGCCGTAAAATACGACAACGAGAAATCACGTGTGCGGCGAGGACTCCGAGGCGGCGGCAACAACGGGTGCAATGGGGCCGCGCGGGGGAACGTAAAGGATAACAGTAAAGGGAGATTGTTCGAATGACTTGGCGCTCTTTGCCGCGTCGGACGTCCCGTACGTGGTAGCGCATCGTTAACGAAACTTGGTCGGAATTTCACAAGCGCGCCATTCCTCAGCGCGCAATCACCGTCATATATCACCGAAACCGCGGCCAAGTATAAGGCTGACACGTTCGCTCGTTAATGCGGGAATGATCTCGAGTACACAGCACGCCGGACGGGCGCCGGCGGATTTATCAAACCCGCGCGAAAATGTTTCTCGGCGCGCCGAGATTCCGAGCCGTGGATTGATTCGAATGCGATTTATATGGAACAGCCGTGCCGCCGCGCACGTCATGCATCGCAATCGGGTGATCTGTTCGCGAATTTTCAGGCGAGAGAGAGAGCGACACGCAGGCAGCTCTCGCGGACTCGATAATACGGCGTCGTCTCTGTGAATGCGCATCGCCGAATTAAAAGTCACCCTCGGGGAATGGGAAATCGCCTCAGACAATTTCGAGCTCACGCCGCGGATCACGGTAATCGCAAAACTGTTTGCCGCTTTCGGATGAGAGCACTTCTACAGCTCTCTTTGTA